ACAGAACGCGGAGCCGGGGGGGGGGCGAGGGGGGGAGGAGGAAACACAAGCGCCGCCTCCTATTGGCCGCCGGACGCGCTGAGGCTTTCTATTGGCTGAGAGCGATCAACCAATGAAAACAGAGCTTTTCGATCCGCTCTCCCGCGGCGAAGGTGGGTTCCCCCCGACCCCTCATAGGAGCGAATCCGGGTCTATTAACGGGGTTTTTGCGGGGGTAACAAAGGCTTTTTTCAGCTCTTTTACCTATTTTTGCCCTCGTGGCAAGCCGGGGTGGGGGGTGGCAGCGCCTCTGATTTCCCTGGGGAAGGGGCTGTGGTTTTCCTAGGGAAAAGCCAAAGCTGATTAATTTCGAGCTCAGCGACCCGTGTTTTTTACAGCTCTCTTTGGGAATATCCAGCTTATTTTACCGGTTTATCAGGCTCATCCATAACTTCAATAATTCCTGATTAGTCTCTTTTTTCTTTTTAATTATTTTTATGTGGGCTGTATTTTATAAAAGTGAAACTTCCAGCTCAAAGACCCTCGTTTGGTTTGGTTCTCTGAATTGATTTTGTTACACAGCACATTAACATTATTCCCTCCTGAGATGGGAGCTTCTCAGCCTTGGCTTAAGGCTGCTCTAACACAGATCCTGCGCCTGGTAGTTCTTATTTTTTCCCCTCTGCTGCTTATTTTTCACATATGATTTGGGTGCTGAGGTTTAGTGGTGTTTTTTTCATTCCCTTTAAACTCCCCGCCAGCTTACTGCTGGTGACACAGCGAATATCCACGTGAGCTCCGCAATACCGAGCAGGAACTCTGCTCTGTCCTTGCATGCCTGCATTAATCCCTGCTTTCTACAGCCACCCTGCGGCTGCAGTTTGCTTCCCCTGGGCGCAGCCGGAGTGGTAGAAAACTCACCCTGCAAATAAATCACCTTTCTCAAACCCCCGGCAATCGCTGCCTGCGCTCTCTGCTGTCGTGAAATCCTTGCTGGCCATGTCCTTGGGGGTTGTTTTATTGCTGGGGCGGTGGGAACGTCAGATAAGCTCTGTATTTCTTTTCCCCGTGAGGCTCCGGATGTCAACGCCGGCCTCCTCCGTCACTGCTTCCAGGAAAACCACTGCCCGGCCCCTTCGCGTGGGCGTTTCTTCAAGCGTTCACAACAAAACAACCCCGTTGCCTCGGCCATGGCTGCAGGGAACGCCATGGAAAATCTCCAGGAGGAAACCACCTGTGCCATCTGCTTGGATTTCTTCTGTGATCCCGTCATGCTCCTGAGTTGCGGCCACAATTTTTGCCGCCATTGCCTCGATCGTTGCTCCGTGGATGCCGCCGGGGCTGGCTCCTGCCCCCAGTGCCGTTTACCTTTTCCCTGTGGTGGCTTCCGTCCCAACCGGCAACTGGCCAACGTGGTGGCAGCCGTCCAGGAGCTGGCAACGCCATCGGTGGAGGAGTTTTGCCGGCGGCACCGCCAACCCCTCACCCTTTTTTGTCACCGGGATGGGATCCTCCTCTGCACTGCCTGCGCCGAGCATCGCGCCCACCCCGCCGTGCCCCTCGAAGAGGCCGCTCGCTGGTACAGGGTGAGCGAAACCCCAGCTCAAATACCTTCTCCCTGCCGGAGCGAGGCTAAAACCCCAATCTCCCCTAAAACTTAGCCCCAAAAATATGTATTTTCAGATGAGGCAAAGCTTTTCCCCATCTCTCCAGGGGGAAAGAAAGCACTGCAAGCATCCAAAAGTCAAAATTCAGCTGAAATACTGCAATCTTCTGAGGCTTAAATATGCAGTGGGGTGGGGGGTTTGGAGACCAAAACTCTTTTAAATATTGGTGATTCAAAAGCTCCTGCTCTCACCCAGTGCCTGTGCCGTGGAGGGCTCCTGCTCCGCTGCTGGGTATGGAGGGGAAATAGGGGTCCCCAAAGGGGGTCTGGACCCAGCTGGGGGTGCAAGGGAGGGGGAGAAGGGGGGCTGGGGTGTTTAAGGGGCTGCTGGGGACTTTTTAGGGGAGTTCTTGGAGAGATGGGACATCCCAGCCTGGCTGGGAGACCCATAGTGGGCACATATCACTGTATATTTATATATCTATATAGGTAATGTGTGGGTACACATATAGCATAGCTATAAACCTAATTGTAACACGGATCTACATGCGCATATCTGCTTCAGCGCAGCTGGAGAGGAGGATGAGGATGGGGCTGCCCACACTGACTGTATCCCAGGTCCTTTAGGGGTGCCAGCCCCCCTTTTTCCCCCCCTCCGGAAGCCAAACCCCCTTTTCCCGGTTGCAGGAGCAATTCAAAGCTTCCCTAAAAGCCCTGCAAGAAGAGGACGAGCGACGTGCCGGGCTGGCGGCGGCAGTGGAGGAGACAAGACAGGAGATGCTGGTGGGTGTTCCCGCCGTCGGTGGGGGCCAAACTGCTTCATCCCCCGCTCCAGCATCCTCCTCCTCTCCCTTCATCCCCCAGGCTCGAGTCGATGCCGAGAAGCAGAAGCTGCTGGCGGTGCTGGAAGGGCTTCGGCGGGCACTGGGCAAGCAGGAATCGCGGTTCTTGACCCGCTTGTGTCACCTACGCCGAGGGCTGGAGGAGCAGCGACGCGGTGAAGCCGCTGAGCTGGCCCGGCTCCGGCAAAGCCGCACGGAGCTCCAGGCCAAGTGCCAGCAACCGGACAGTGACCTGCTACGGGTGAGCCAAATCTTCCCCCCAAAGCCCTCTGTTTTCCCCCCTCTTTGGCTTTTATTCCCAGGCAAACAGCCCTGAGCATCTCTCTCCCTTCCTCTCCAGGATGCCCAAATCACCCTGAGCAGGTATCGGGGCCAAAAAGCATCACCAGGAACACCGGTTTTGGGTCAAAATCCTCTGTTTTGGGGGTTTCCTCCTCACCCTGCATCCTTTTCCCCCCTGGGATTTTTGCTTTTGACCTGGGGGAGGTTGATGGTTAATCCCAAGCTTAGTGGCAATTGGGATCTCCTGTCACATCTTGCAGGAGCTGGAACCTTTCTGGGGAAAATAAAGCTTTCCCCGTGGTTTTCCAGCACAGGGAAGGGAAATTTGGTGACTTCTCAGCGTTAAACACGCCAATTTCCCCCCCCTGAGGTGCACGGAGTGGAGGATGCAGCCACAGCTGCCACCGATGCTGGAGCTGGAAGCAGAGCTTGAAGATTTTGCCCTGAAAACCAACGTGCTGGCAGAGGCAGCGAAGCAGTTTAAAGGTGTTTGGAGGGGAAAAAGGGGCAAAGAAGGGCATTTAATAAGCAGAAATCAGAGCTTGGAGTGGGGATGGGGGGGCAGAGACCCCCCCCAGGGTTGGCAAAGTTTGGCTGGAAGGTCCAAGCGTCGCAAATGCCCCTTTAATTAAAAAAAAAAAAAAGTCAGGGATTCATCCCCTTTATAGCAGCTTTAGGGGGTGGGAAGCTGCAGGTGGGAGATGCAGAGGTCTGCTGGCTGTTAACACCCAAATTAGGACACTAATTAGGTGTGGAGGGAGGTGATGCCCCACACAGAGGGGGTTTGAGTCTCCCACCTCCGACAGTTTTGCCTTCTCCACACGATGGGGGGATGCGGGGCAGCCGCAGGGCTGGATCCAGGGGTACAAATCTCTGGGGTCATCTTCTATTTCCAGACATCTTGGGGTGCTTCCTGGAGGAAGACTCGGGGGGATACCGGAGAGGTGAGTCAGGCTTCGGGGATGCCCTTTGGGTGCAGTGCCTGGGGCTGATGCTCAGATTCAGCATCCCGAGCTGGGGCTCAGCTCCAAAATCTGGAGCTGATGCTCTGGTGCAACACCCAGGAGCGATGCTTGGGTGCAATATTTAAAGGTGATGCTCCGGTGCGACTTTTAGAGCTGATAATCGGGTGCAACGTTTGAAGCTGATGTTCTGGTGCAACATCCAGATGCAATACCCAGGGCTGATTTTCAGGAGCAAATCCTGGGACTGATGCTTGGGTGCAGTATTTGAAGCGGATGCTCTGGTGCAGCGTCTGGATGCAATGCCTAGGGCTGATGCTCTGGTGCAGCGTCTGGATGCAATGCCTAGGGCTGATGCTCAGGTGCAAGATTTGAAGCTGATGCTCTGGTGCAGCGTCTGGATGCAATGCCTAGGGCTGATGCTCAGGTGCAAGATTTGAAGCTGATGCTCTGGTGCAGCGTCTGGATGCAATGCCTAGGGCTGATGCTCAGGTGCATGATTTGAAGCTGATGCTCTGGTGCAAGATTTCGAGCTGATGCTCTTCTGCAACATCTGGGGCTGGTGCTCTGGTGTGATGCCCAGGACTGATGCTCAAGTGCAATACTTGGAGCTGATATTCCACTGCAACACCCAGGGCTGATAAACTGGGGTACCAAGCCCTGCTAATGACCCTCTCCTCCCCCCAGCAACCGTGACGCTGGACCCAGCCACAGCTCACCCCCAAATCCTGGTGTCAGCAGACGGCCGGACGGCAGGACGCCGGGAATCCCCTCTGGCTCCTCTTCCCTCGGGAACAGAGCGCTTCGAGTCTCTCTGCTGCGTTTTGGGGCAGCAGGGCTTTGCGGGAGGCCGGCACCGCTGGGCCGTGGAGGTTCGTCCTGGTCCCGACTGGGCGCTGGGGGTGGCTCGGGAATTTGTGTCCCGGAAAGGCTGCTTTGGTCTCAGCCCCGAACGAGGGGTTTGGGCCGTGGGGCAGTGGCTGGGGCAGCTCCAGGCTCTCACCTGGCCCAGCCCCACGTCTCTGCCCCACAGCCGCATGCCCCGACGCATCGAGGTGGATCTGGATTATGCTGGCGGGCGGGTGGCTTTCCGTGACGCCGACAGCGAGACCGAAATCTTCACCTTCCCCCCAGCTGTTTTTGCCGGTGAACGCCTCCGGCCATTGCTCTGGCTGGGCGAGGGGCCGGCTCTGCTCACCCTCTGCCCCTGAACCCCCCCAAAAACCCACCCTGAACCCCCAAAAGCAGACCCTTCCACAATCCCAACAAACCCCCTGCTTAATAAACAGCCCCAACCCCCCCCCAGCCCCATTTGCTTTTCCTTTTAACACCTAATTTAGCAAAATTAACCACATTTTGCTCTCCTGCTCCTTGCCAGGTTTACACAGACTCAAAATTCCCCTTAAACACCATTTTTTTTGCAGCTCTGCCAGGCAGTTCTCCAGTGAAAATAAGCATTGAAAAGGGAAAAAACCCAAGGGAATATCTTGCTTTCCACCGCAGCTTCACAGCGCTCATCCCAAGCCCCTTTTCCAAAGCAAAACCTACCCTGAATGCACATTTTTCACACATTTAATTATTATTTTTTAAAGAGCAGGGAAAAATTAAAGAAAGAGGAAAAAACTAGAAATTGTCAGTGGAAAGAGAGCCCAGAGAAAACAGCGAGAATGAGCCCCAAAAAAATGAAAGAGCTCAGTTTGAGGAAGAAAAAGGGCTTTGCTGCTGGTGGTAGATGCCTTGTAGGAAGGATTTGCAAGTAGAGAAGTTTCTGCTTAAGATTTGCAGAAAAATTAAGGGAAGTGGGATAAAACCACCTCTTCGGCCTCCTGGAAACGCTTGGGATGGGGCCTCTCCATGGTTTTGCAGTTACTGCCAGGATGTGAGCGGGGAGAGAGGCCACAAACAGGATTTTATCCCTCATATTGCCACCTATGAATGAATAAAAAGGGAAAAAATAAAGAAAACCAGCACCTTAACGCAGCAGGAAGTTGTTATGAGGGTTAAATCATGCAATAAAGCGCTCTATATCAGGCAGCGCAGGCAGGACCAGGCAGATCTCTGCCTCTTACAGCCCCAGCCTCTCCACCTCTGTAGCCAGACTTGCCTCCGCATCTGCAGAGGCTCATGATGTCGGCTGGGGAAGAGGAAAAACCACCAGGAAAAGCAACAGGGAAGACAGCTGCTTTCATCATCAGGGCACTAATTTTAAATAGGCCCCTGACAAATCCGCAGATCGACGCTAAACCCATACTACAGCTCAGCTCCGCTGTGTCATTAGTTGTTTCCTGCCTTGGCTCGCGGTGAGGTAGGACATAGGCGATGTCGCCCTCAAAAGACAGGAGCTCGTTGCAGCACAAGGGCCAGCGATGCTTCCTGTCACGAGCGTAAATCAAAGTCCTTCTTCACAGCATCCTGCTCCGACAAACAAGCTTCTCACACTCCACTTCATCCCCTTTTCACCTGAAGAACTTTATGGAGATATAAATTGAAAGTCCACAAGAAAAAATAAAGCATAAACAACAACAAAAACTTGCTTTTCTGTGTAGCTCAGCAGGCCCAGAAAAAGCTCTCTAGTGTTGCAGAAGAAAAAAAATCAGCCTCTTTTCACTCGAAGGCACCTCACGAGACTCACGTCAGCGGTTTGGACAACAGAGCGTTTGGCATGGAGAGCGCACAGCCCCCACTCCTCCAGCAGAGCCAGCAGATGCACCTCACAGCCCTCTCGCAGAGCTGCCACCGCAGCCCCGTGGACCCCAAAACCCTTCCGGAGAACAGGGAAACCTCGCACCAGCCCACAAAAAGAGGCCCCAGGCAGCAGCCGAAAACGTTTTCTCTGCAAGAGACGGAGCTTTTTCCACAGCGCTGGAGCCCGCGGGGGACGTGGCCGCGTTTTGGGGGGGTTCGGGGCTGCAGAAGGACCGGTCCCGGGCGGGGGTTTAGCAGCTGCTGC